TCAATTCTTGGATTTGAGACACTGTTTAAATCTCCTATAATAATTAATTTATATTTGTTATTTTGGGTAAGAGAAATTAAGTAGTCTTAAATTTCTTTATAAAGTTGTTTTTTTCATAAGTTGGAAAGTATACTTGAAGAAGTCTAATGGGTGTGTTTTTGAAGTGGAAGTAAAGTCCAATTATGTGTCTATTGTAATTATAAGATTTGGCAATATATTTAGAGATTTTTTTGTGTACAAATATGCCAACACCAGCTTGGTGAGGATTTGTATATAAGCTCCAGAAACTGGTATAGTTTTGAATTTGGTTACTAGATATTTTTCCTTCTTTAGAAGACAAGTGTGTTTCAGAGAATTCGAATATTTTAAGTTGTTTTTTTGTAATAGTTCTATTAAGAAAAGTTTCTTGTTGGATTGAGAGAGACCATTTATGTTTATTGATCCAATTTTAATTGGTATAGAAGTATATTCAGGTGTAATTATTGATAGAGTAGAAGAAGGTGTTATGAAATTGTTTGAAAAGATTGGTTGATTGGATGTAAAGAGATCAGTAGAGTTTGTGTTAGAAATTAACTAATTAAAAGATATTAATAATAGTAAATGCCATATATATTGTAAAGAGAAGAGTCTATTTCTGTGTGATTTGGTAGTATTTGGTCTGTAGTTTTTAAGTAAATATGTAATTTTGTTTTTTTGGAGTTTATAGATATTTTTATTGAATTGAAAAAGTTATTTAAATGTAGATGTTGAATAAATTTTTTGAATGAAATAGGTTCAGTAATTTGAGGTAAGTTATATTGATTTAAGAATTTAGTATAGCATTTGTCTATCTCAGTAGAAGTTGAAGCATTGAAGGTAAAGATAGTATTTGTAATGTCTTTTACAGAATCACTCACCATTGTAAGCTCAGCTTGCACAGCTGTGAAGGATACCATAACCTGCCTAGTACATTGGGTCTGGTCAATATAATTCTGGTCCTTCACTACAATAGGTTTTATTGCCTGCCTACTGTTATCATTCTCCTCTAAGAATGGCCCACTAGTAGTAAAGAACATTATAATCTTAGAGGCAGCAGTTGCTTTAATGTTATCTGTAAAAGAACTTATTGAAAAGGAGTTTTTTGGTGTTGGGTAGAGTTGTTGGGTGTTTCTTTTTGAGAAGTAGAATTTCTTTTTGAGAAGTAGAATTGTTAGAGCTAGTATCCTGAATAGTGGAGGTTGAATTTTCTTCTTTATTTTCATTTTTAGTTTTATTTTTAGGTTGTATAAAGAGCATATTATTGTATTGAGTAGGGATAGAAATATTAAAATGTTTGATTAGAAGATTTTCTGCTTCTGGATAGTAAAATTTCTCATAGTTGATTCTTGTTTGTTTAAGAAATATTTTAAATTGAGAGTGAATTTCATAAAAAATAATTATTCAAGCTAATATGTATACATCAGAGGTTGAGTTTATAATTTTTTCAAAAGCTTTTTCTTTAGATAGCTCTTGAATTTCATTATTTTCAGCTGCTGTATATAAATATTTTTTCAAATATTGATAGAAATAATAAGTAACTCAGGCCACTTCACTATTAACATTATTAAGAGATGCAAAGCTTTCTTCAGTTGATGTAGCTAATTTTCTTAATTTAGTTATGGGTGTTGTTTTGAAAAGGTTGCTGCTAGTTCTTGGTTTGTTTGAAATAATTTATAATCTAATGGAGAGTATTTCCATTCTTTTGAATTAGTTTCTAATACTGGATGAAATTTAAATGATTATAAAAAGTAAAATTTAAAGATATTTTCAAGAGTGTGTTCTGTGTTGTCAGATAGTAGGTTATATGATTTGCTATGACATTTATGAAAATGATGAAGTGCTGCTTAAAAAGTGGCTTTTGAGTGATCTTGAAGTGTGAGTAACATGTTAGGAAGTGAATAAGTTTCTGGTAAGAGTTCTTTGCAATCTTCAATAAGTTTTTTAGATATTAACATTTTAATGTAATTGCATGTTTTTTGTTAATCACTTTTTTCAAATTGAATTTTGTATTTTTCAAAAATTTTAAGAACCATGTTTCATATGTTTTAGTGTGGGGTTTAAGTGAAGGAATTTTGAAATCATCTTCAAATTTTTTGTCAGGAATATTTAGCTTGACTTTAATATTAAACCTATTGTCATTTTGTATATCAAAGAGTAGCTCATTTGTATTGTAATCAATATCAAAATTTAGAGTAAAGTGTAATGGCTTGATGTCGAGTTTTTTCATAAAATTTTCAAATTTAATAGTTTTATAAGTATGATTTAAATATAAATAGAGATGTGCTATATTGATGGCAACTTTTTCCTGTTATTAGCTGAGTATGGTGAAATAGAGTAATGTGATCAGAAAATATATAAGTAGTCTAATTGGGTAAATAGTACTGTTGTAAATTTAGCAATTAAACCTTTAAGAGTTTTAACTAAGACTTTGAAAAGAATAGGCTTAGATTGATCAAATTCCAGATTAGCTTCAAGAATGAAATCAGTTAGGAATTTTGGTTTGTTATTAGCCATTTTGTTAAGTATATAAGTAAATGAATATTTAGCAGGTAGTCTGTGTTAGGTTTTGTGTTTGTTGATTCAGTAGGAATAATTTAACCTAAGTTAAAGTTTATAAGATGTGATTTTAAAAGTGAGAAGACTTGGAGTGCAAATGGTGTACTTAGTTTACTATTTTTCTGCATTTTAGAGATAATAAGATAGTTTAAAAACCAATCAAAGTCATTTGTTGTATCACATTTTTGTGAGATTTTTTTTTTTTTTCTTTTTGTTAATCTTTTGGTTTTTCATTAGTATTATTTGAGTCTTTGTTTGTTTTGTTATTTTAGGTTTGATTTTTATCTTTGAGTTCATTGATGGGTTTGGTTTTTTTAGACAATCTTGCAATAAATTTTTTGAAAAATATATATTTTTCTTTAGCAATTAGTTGTAAGCACTTAATTTTGCAATATAGGTTACACTGTTTCCAATTCATAGATTTAGATGGGGTTAGGTATTTAAGTTTTAGAGTGTAAGTACAGTATGTATGTACAGGAAAGCTTTCTTCACTTGTTGTAAAGGTTAAAGCTTGTGGATCTAAGAAGTGTTTATTGTCATTAAGAATAATGTAAGATAAGTTTTTAGTTTTGCATATGATGCATGTATGTGCATAGTGTGAGAATGGTTTGAAGAAAATAGACTCAGTAGAGGTTTTTCTGATATTACTACAGAAAGTGGGAAATGGGTAAGTAATTTCATGTTTAGGTTAGAATTTAGATCTTTGAAGACTTTTAAGAAATTTGAATAATTTGATATCGAAATCAATTTCCATAGAATTAGATGCATCTGAGATGTTTTTTAGAGTATCTTAAGAAGGTAATAAAATAGTAATATGTTGTGAAGCAAAGTAGATATGATATTTTTTGCAAAGATAGGTGGTAATAACTGGTTTGGTTGGTTTAGCAAAAAAATGGAACCTGTTTTCTAAGTTACATGTTGTTAGAATAAAGTTAATTGGTAGAATTTTAAGAGTTTAGACATTATTATCATAAGTAACAGAACAGAGAGATAATTATTAAGATCAAAGAAATCAGGTTCAACATTGATAATGCTTGGCATTTTGTGTAATTATCTTTTAAAGTAATAATAATAAAATTCAAATAGTATGAACTATTTGTGTAATATTATTTTAATAAAAAATTTATTAAATATCTGGGCTACCAGACTATTTAGGAATGATTTGAGAAGTGTGATATGTTTATAAAAGCTAATTAGGTGTTTAGAAAATTCTAATAGGTACCAGGAAAGTGAAAAATCTGAGGCAACCCAGCAGATTTTCCTAAAATGACAATAAAAAAACCTGCAAAGACAGGTTTTAGTTTTTGCCTTTTTGCTTGTATCTTTGTAAAGTTTTGTTTGTTTATAATGAATTATATATCAAAATGACCAACTCAGGGTGCTTAGTATTTTCCTATTAGGTAGCAAGGTATATTTACTTAATAAAATATTTAGAAAATTAGCAAAAACCAGAATTTTGGTTTTTGAAATTTTTCTCAGTAACCAAGTATTATAAAGACTTAAAACCTGGCCACCTAGGAAAAGAAAAGTGTGCTTAGCAACTTTACCTAAGTGAACAAGTAAGGTTTACTTAATAAAATATTGAGAAATAATTAAATGTTTTAGTAAAATTTTGGTACAAGTGATTTATGGAGAGAGTTACAGAATTGGTCCTTTACTTAATAATTAAAATAAGTTTATTTAATATAGTTTTCATAAAATTAAATATAAAAAAATTTACTATTAGGTTTAAATATAATTTTAAAATACTGCTTTCTACTCTTAAATGGTTATAATAAATTCAATTAATGATAACCCAAATGATAATTCAAAAATTAAAATATTCTTTTTTATTAATACAAAGATTGTATTAACTAAATAAAAAAAAACCTATATATACAGTAGTATAAATCTTTAATAGAATTACTGTAAAGATTAATTTTAGAAAACAAATACTAATGTCAAAATACTTAAATGAACAAGAACTTTTAAGTAAGAATATTACTACTTAGACTATCAGAATGAATTAGAAGAAAAGAATATCAGGTTAACTTAATATACCAATAAACTATACATAATCCTACTAAGTTATCTGGATTAGAATTCTAGAAAACAAGCAAAAGTATATTAAAGTAATTTGAATAAGTTATAAAATAAATACTAAAGTTTAAGTAAACTCTATAAGAAGATAATAGTTTGATGGTTAACTCTGACTACAAATGTTAATTTTACTATAGTAATATCAGCTGCACCTTTAGATTTTTTTATTGAAGTGGTAACTCTCTTGATCAGTTTATGTAATTTCCAACTAATTAAAAATTTGCCTCTGATCCATTGAGGGAGATGCTTAAGAACACCCTGAGCTGGCTAAGCTGTTTATTATTTTATCTGCTTAGTTTGTTCTCAAGCATCTTAATCAATTGATTCAATAATGATCTTGATAATGCTCAAGCATCACAGCCAATAACGATATCAATAGAATCAAATGTTTGAGTATACTCGAAAAATAAATTAGCAATTTTTTTGAATCAGTTATAAATTTGTTAAGGATTTATTGTTTGTTAGAAAAAGGTAAAGGTAGTGTTTGAGTAACCTTAATCAATGCTGAATTTTTAGAAAAAAAGATAGTTTGCATCTCATTGATTTTTTCATCAAAATAATAACTCCCTTGATTCATTTATTCAATTCCTGCCTAATTAAAAATTTGCCTTAGATTTATTGATTGAGGTGCTTAAGAACAACTTTAGTAAGATGAGATTTAATAACTGACTACAAACACTACTTTTAGCTTTATCCTATGCATATAAGCTATACTTTATAAAAACTATACTCTTTAGTCAGAATGGAAAATATTATTCAGGTTAACAGCCTTTTGATAGTGTTCAAATGCCTTACAATCATCTTGATTCTATTTACTAATAAAAGCCAAGACTATTCCAAAAGTATTATTCAGGTTTACATACTATTTAGTTTACAAATAAAATTAAGATACTATGAATTTGATGCTAATTTATAATAGTTTTTATACTACTGATTTGGACTTGCCTTTATTCGTATTATGGCATACCATGCTGCATATACTCTTGATCTTGCTCTGCTGCTCTATTTTACTTTGTTTTGAATGATGCTCGTATAGTATGCATAAGAGATAGATGGTCAAATTGCTCACTGAAATGAAACAAACAACTTATTGCATATATGAAGTTATCAAGTAGGATCATAACTAAGTACATAATGATTTTAATACCAACTACTTAATACTTCAAACCATTTAAGATTTAAAAAAAACTTTATTTTAAAAGCGTAATTCTTTGCTATCCTAAAACATATTTGATGTTCTAATCTAGTATATAGCTTACTGTATAATATGCAGTCTGGTGTGCTATTTAATTCAAATCAAAGAAATTGTATGTAAAAAAAAAGTAAAATTGAATTTCATCTAAAAACTCATTATTGAAAAAAAAGCTTTATGCAAAATTTGATATAAAACATTCACTAACTCTAAACCTAACTTTAGCATAGCCTACTCAGACCCGACGATAGTAAGAATAGGATGCACTAAATGCATTATAATATTTATATACCAAAAAAAAAAAAAAAAAAATCATATGCAAAAAAAAAAAAATCATATGTAAAAAAAAAAAATCATATGCAAAAAAGAAAAAAATCATATACAAAAAAAAAAAATATGCAAAAAAAAAACTTTCTAAATTGCATATAAATGTAATACTACTAGTTTTAGTACATATTATAATTAAAATATGATAAAAGTAAAATCTGTTTTTTTGATTTTTTATTTTCAAAATGCTATTTTTTGAGCTTTTTTCACAACATTATTAGACTCTTCTTATCAGATCCTTTTTCAAGTTCGAGACTTTCTTAAAAACTAATAACTTTCTCCAATGTGTCAATAGCATCTGTAATAGTTATTGGAGGAGAAGAAAGAGATTCCTTATCATTATCTGTTTCATCATCATCATTGTTATTGAACTCATTCATTACTATTTCAATAATACCTTCATCTGTTAATACATTCTCAGTTGCAGTTAGTTAATCGATTGTGTAAGCATATTCATCAATATTACAAATTAATTCTTGAGCCATTGAGTTAGTCTCAAATGACGAATTATTAACTAGCGTGACAACATCATTTGTCTTAGAGAACTCATTTTCTGATTCATTTTCTTGTTCACTTATTTCTAGCTTATTTATTACCAACTCACATACTTTAGGCATGATTCTGATGGTTCTTTAGCAATTCTTAATAGTAATATCATTAACATTGTCCCATGCTTTAGTGATAAAATTAATAGCTTTTTTTAAGCTAAGTTTTCTGCATTATATAAATGATCAGTAAAAAAAAAAAAAAGTAAAAAATATAAAAAATTTTTGTTGCAGCTAATACAAAATTTAAAATCTTGATTGAAAATATAAACTCTATTAAAGCTTATATTCTCTTTATTTTAAGCACTAATCCTAAACTCTAGCCCAATCTAAAAGCTAAAAAACATCTAAAAAATTTCTAAAATTTTATTAAAAATAGGTTCAAATTTTAGCATCTGTCGTAACAATTTTTACCTTTGGTCCTTATTTTTTTCAAACTGTGAGAGCAAGTAATGACAATACAGCTTTTTGTATTTTGATTTATAGCTATAAATAAGACCAGAATCTATGTGTTGGAGGTGAGCAGTAGTATTTGGTGGAAGGTAGTATATAGTAATATTTGTAAGATAAGAATGACTAAGAGCTTGTTTTAATTCTTGAGATCCTTCCTGTGGCATTCTTTGCAGCCTTCTTCATGCCTTCCTTGTAGTCTTTTTCATAGCCTTCTTCATAGCCTTCCTTATGGCCTTCCTTGTGGCTCATTTTGGAGTTCTTCAGCTTCATTATTAGATTCACCTTCAGATGATTGTTCATATGCATCATTTGGTATTTCATTTGTATTATGTTTATCAAGAAACATATGGAAGGCCGCATTATCAACAAGAAGCAAAATCTGTCTATCTTGGATATGAAAACAATTATCAATCACTTTTAACCATCTTTCCCAAATATCACTCCTCATCCATGCTTTTTCATTATTTTGATATGTTACTAGTAATTGTGATAAATTTATATGTTTAAAGAATTGTGGCCTTTTAGAAGTGCCAATTACCAATGGACAGAGCTTATGTGAACCAGTTGAGTTGGAGCAAAGCAATACAGTTACTTTTACTTTGTTCTAAAAAATTAATAAGCCATTTGATTTATCAAAAATTTTTTTTTTTCTTTTATTATTATTATTATTATTATTATTATTAAACCTGAAGACTTCCATTCTGTTTGAATCTGACATCTTTTTTCTGTCATTGGTTTTTTAAAAAGAATTTGGTTAGAAAGTAATCTATAAAATAAACCTGTTTCATCAGCATTATATATATCATCTGGGTTATAATTGAAAAAAATTTCTTATAATTTGGTCTGTTCTGCAGGTAAAGTTTCTAAGAGTGTGCTTGCTGCTTCAGCATGCATTGTGATTTTTTTTAAACCATTGTGCCTCTTAAATTTAGTAACCCATCTATTTGAGAATGTAAGCAATCCTTCAGGTATGGCAAATGCTTCTGCAAATTGACTGCCTTTTTCCTTTACTAATGAATTTGATGTAATCATTCCTTCAGTTGTAACTTGTTCAACCCACAAATTCATGGCAAGTTCTAGTATAGAATACTTCACAGGATGATGTCAGAAAGTTTTTTCAGCTTGTACATTATCATCCAGAAGATTATTATATTTCGCAGATTTTTTTAGTATTTTGGAAATTGTAGAGTGATCAATATTTATATTCAGATAACACAATGTAAACTCATTTGCTATTTCTTGGTGTTTATATAATAGATTGTTTTTAGCAAAGTCACATATTTCTTTTTTTTGTTTGTCACTAATACAGCTACATGTTTTTTTGAGTACAGGTTCAGAAGGCATATTGAAAGAAATTAGAATTATAGAAAAAATTATTATTCTTTATAAGTGAATCCTTTAATTCTTTATTTGTAGTTAAATAATACAATGTTCATTAGCATTTGCTAATGTCTTTTCTTCTATACCAAGTTCATTGGTTTATATAAAAAGCATCTATACTAAGTGATTAAGCAGCATTTATACAAAGAGTATACAAAAGCTTTCCTTTCTTATATATCAAGTTAATTAGGCCAGTGATTCAAAAGTTTGGTATGAAAATAAATTTAGATCATAGCTTGTTTATAATTTGGATATTCGATTAAGGTTCTAATAAATATCTGTATAGTTATCAACTACACTTAATTTAACATTAATATGCTGAGTTAAAAAAAAAATGTTTGTATATATGCACATACATACATATTTAACAGCAAGTTTTTCATAAGTGTTATTAAAGAAAAAACCTGTAAATACTGTTTTTCAAGTATTTGTACCGAAATACTGATCATATAAGAGTTAAATTATTACATATATAATAGTAGTATCTTACTTTTTTAGAAGTCTGATGAAAATTTAGGTTTGTGCATACAGGTTTTTTCTTGATAACACCCAAATGTACTATATATATCTTTTGTCCTATATAAAGTAATTAAGTTTGACTTCCACTTCATATGTACATATGTATATATGAAAGTCAGATTAAAAAATTTATTGTATTGCTTAAAACAGGAGAAATTGTTAATGTTACACATTAATCCTTTATGCAATGTAGTTAATCACTAATAAAATTATTTATCTTGAGTTTACTCTAAAATATATGTTATAGATATAATCCTTCGCTTTGTTATTCACGCGGGGTGATCAGTTAAACTTAAATTATTTATATGTAACTTCAAGTGTAATGAATATAATCTCTCACTTGGTGTAACAGTAATAATTCTTCCTGTTTATTGCTTATTGTTGTTAAAAATTTCTAGAAACTAAGAATTTTTTAAAACCACTATAAATTAATTCTTAGCTTCTGGAAATTGTCTCAAATCGATATTATGGGAGCAGGAGAGGTTTTAATACTATGCAACTGAATTTAGCTGTTTGTAATTATTAAGTAGGGTATGATAGTGGTTATTACTTATATCAATTAATCGAATTAATATATATTTGGCCAAAGACACAGTTATACAATTAAAGAAAGAGACACCTTTACTTATTTAATGCAAGTGCAAAAAAAAGTTCTCAAGGGTTCTAAAGAGTTCTGCTTTTATTAATCAAGAATAACTCTTTTTAAGTTAGACTACAAATAAGAATAATTATGCAAGAATGAAGTAACTCTACTAAAAATATAGTCATTGATGCAAAAAGCATAATAAAGTAAAATTGATTATGATTAACATATAATGCATGAAAAATCTTAAATTTTTTGTAACACTGTTTAACATTGATAATTCTGATATAGTTATACATAAGAACCAACTAGTCATATCACAAATTTTAGGAAATCGGCAATCAGGTTGCAAAAAAAAAACTGTTAGGTTTATGAAATTCAAAGAATATATTATAAAGTGAAGTGAAGTATTGATTCTTTTGTTAAATATATAAAACAATTATTTATTATTGTAATTATATTGAAAACATCTATGACTTTGAGTAGTTATTTCTGTTTAACCTGGAACATTATTTTTAGTATATAATAAAATCTATATAGTCATCACTTAAATAGTTTAATGTTTTGTGACTATATAG